TTTCTTTCTTTCTTTCTTTCTTTCTTTCTTTCTTTCTTTCTTTCTTTCTTTTTTTTTGTGGGAACCTTCTTTATCCTGGCCATCACTGTCCTAGCTGTCAGCCAGGATGGCTGCCATTCAAGACAACTTCCTGACTGCCTCCTCCTTCCTACGGTGGCTCTTAATGGCACAACCTTCAAAAACATGCAGGTGAGGCTGAAGTAACATGAGATGCTCCAAAGGACCTCTCTGCTGCGGTTCACCACGCAGCCTCTCTAAGAAGCCGCGTGCAGTTCCTCACTGTGTTTCCTGAGCAGTGCCCTGGAGACAAATGGGCACACCCTCTCAGCACCATCCTCCCGGGTCACAGAGGAGTTGAAGTCAAGCCCAAAGAGTGTGCCGAAGGTCTGAAGGACCATTCTGTCCCAGTGCTTCATCTTCCACACCCACAACTGTCCAAAGTCACTTAACTTGTCCCAAATCAGGTCACAGAACAGCAGGAGACATTCCTTTAGCAAAAAAAGTTCACATTCTTATCCTGTATCTTGTATTGGTAGGTGAGACTTCGAGCCTGCTGGGCTGTGGGTTTCGATGGCCTCCTCCAGAGGATGCTCAGCTGCCCATGCACATCCTTGCAGAATCCAGTGGCCAGGCCCTCAGCTCACAGGATCAGGTGGCTTTGATGACTGAGGCCATTCAGCAGGATGTCATTCTCCTCATCCTCAGCACCCCCAGTGTCATGTACAAGGGCTACCACGTTTCCCTTCAGTTCACAGCACACCATGGCTCTGCAGTACTGCATGAAGTCCAGCACAGAGACCGCCCCCATGCCCACGCTCAGCAGTACACTGAGGTTCTCCACCAACAGCACCGGGGACTTCCATGGAGACTCCCCACTGTCCGCAGGCTTCAGGGTGTCCTGTATAAACTTATACAGCGACTGCAAGTTTCCTGCACCATCCTCTCTGAGAAACTGCAGGGGTGAGGCTCCTCCTGAGAGTGGAAGAGGACTTCCACAGAGGACTTGAGGCCCTCCAGGAACACAAGCTGCCCTCGATCCCGAGCTGCTGTCAAGCTGACACCCAGTTTCTGTCCCACAATATTGTAATGGCTGAAAGACTGGATGAGTGCCACAAAGCAGACTTTACAATTAGCTTTCAGGTAGAAGGAGAGGAAGCGATGCATGAGGAACCTGCCATCTGTCTTGGCATCACAGAGGAGAGTCAGTTTCCCCTGCTTGGTCCTGTCTGGGGTGGTGCTGAGAAGGTTGTTGAGTTCCGGGAACATTGTGAATTGGGATAAAAATTATGGTTCTACAGAAAGAATGAAGGCTCAAATGAGTTTCTAAATCAACCTCTTGTCCCAAGACTCAGTCCAACCCCATTTTACCCAAAGGATGAGTTCCATGATGATGAGAAGCCAGCGTCATAATATGTAATGAAGTCACAAGGTCAGAGGCAACCCCTGCAAAAAGGACAGTGACAAGATCCTCCTCTAAAGCAGTGGTTCTCAAGCTAAGGGTCAGAACTTCTTTGGAGGTTAAATATGCCTTTCACAGTGGTCCCATATCAGATATCCTGCATGTACTTACATTATAGCTCATAACAGTAGCAAAATTACAGTGATGAGGTAGCAGTGGAGTAATTTTATGATTGAGGGTCACCGCAATCTGAGGAACTGTATTAAAGGGTCATAACATTGGGAAGGTTGAGAATCACTCCCCTAAAGAAACCAGCCGAGGCAGAGCCATCACAGAATTCCCTGGCCTGTGGAGCTGGAGTGTCCTTGTGAGATGAGGCACTTCCAGCCTCACATGGCCCTTGTCAGTGAATGGGGGATGAGCTGTTCTTGCTCAGGAGGCTAGGCTACACTGTCCTGTGCATTTTGTAGTGGAGCAACTCTGGGCACTCCATCCCAAAGGATGACCTCTGCTGCATAGAACATCGTTAGCATCTTGCTAGAAAGGAAAAATGCTCACACAGGCTACCTCTTGGGATACAAAACCAGTCTACTTTATTTATTTCATGAACTGTATTTACTGTCCACCACAGGGACCTTCTACCCATTGTCCACCACAGGGACATCTTCCCCACTGTCTACCACAGGGATGTGCTTCTCACAGTCCAAAACAAGAAATCCTCCCCACTGTACACCACAGGGACATCCTCCCCACTGTCCGCCAC